ATGATAAAGAGGGGTTCACTCCAGGGCCTTTGCTTTCACTTAAAGAACAGATTGACAAGGATAAGGTCTTTCTTTCTCTCATCCCTTTTCAAAATCTCCATTTCTTCTGTCTGATTTTTGGTTAGAACTTTTGGATTAAGGGGTGCTTTTGTTTTGGTTTGCTTCATGATTTGGTTGCTAATAACAGAGTTTATATGTTTGGGTAATGGCCAGTGGGTCTCAGAAACTAATAGACTAACGAAGTTTAAACGCATTTTCAGAACTAAAAGAAAACCCTATTGCACAATGCGGCTTCTCAACTATCAAACTTATTATAGTGTCTTGCAGGTTTTTGCAGTAGTTCTTCAATGAGATGATATAATAATGGTTTATTTTTTTGGATTCTTGTAAGTTCATAATCTGTAGGATAGCATCAGCTTATTTTGCTAAGTCGGTTGAGGATTGTTGGGAGAGGAGTCCCACGTTGGCTAATTGAGGCGAAGATCATGAGTTTATAAGTAAGGAATACTATCTCCATTGGTACGAGGCTTTTTAGGGAAACCAAATGCAACCCCATGAGAGCTTATGCTCAAAGTGGATAACCTCATACCATTGTGGAATTTAGTGATTCCTAACATGGTATCAGAGTCCTGCCCTTAACTTAGTCATGTCAAGAATCCTCAAGTGTAAAACATAAAAGTTGTGAGTCTCAAAGGTGTAGTCAAAAGTGACTCAAGTGTCGGACAAATGGTCTACTTTGTTAAAGGGCCACGGAGAAGGAGTTGAGCCACGACTAAGAGGAGACTGTTCGAGGGCTCCATATGCCTTAGGGAAGGTTCTATGGTGTATTTTGTTCGAGGGGAGGATTGTTAGGAGAGGAGTCCCACATCTCCTAATTAAGGGGAAGATGTAAGAAATACTATCTCCACTAGTATGAGTTATTTTGGGAAAACCAAAAGCAAACTCATGAGAGCTTATGCTCAAAGTGGATAATATCATACCATTGTGAAGGTCCGTGATTCTTAACAAAGTCTCCACAAAATAGCGAAAAAACAAGCCTGCCACAAAACTATCCCTTCATCTTATAGAAGGGACGATATGAATCTTTTTTTTTTTTTCTCGAGACATTATACTCATTCCAAGCCCTTATCACCATGGAACCCATATTATTGAATATTTCTTAGTCATCCCTCCTTTCAGGTGTAGCTCTAAACCTCATAGTTATGCTTCTTTGTGGAGTTGATTCTTCTAGCTTTAGATGACCTTAGTGAACTTTAGAAGGCAATCACTTGAAACAAGTGATTCTTACAGGGTCATACAGTTCTGTTCTAATGTTGATCTTGCTTTTACAGGATGATGAAAGCCTGAGAAGGTGGAAAGAAAAGTTGCTTGGCTGCTTAGAAAGTGACTTAAGTGGTATATGTTCTGAAATTCTTCTTTATTAATTGATAGTTTTGCTGCACTTGTATTTGTACTTAACATTATGCCTTTTCTGCTACTAGAACAAAGGGAACCTGAAGTCAAATTTCACTCCATTGGGATTATTTCTGATGAGTTTGGGGAAATCATCACTCCATTGCCTGTTAATGAAAATCAAGGTGGCCGTGTTCTCTTTACTCTCCGAGAAGGATCCAGGTATCAACTTCGGTTGACGTTTACCGTAATGCATAACATCGTCTCAGGCCTGTCCTACTCGAATAAAGTCTGGAGAGGAGGATTGCTAGGTACATAAATTTTGATATCCACTGTTTCTGAAAGCATGCTTATCAAAGTCGAATCTTAAACTATTTAGTTCTCTTTTTAACTTATTATGCTTGTGTTCTTGGCGATTGATATCAGTTGATCGGACACAAGGAATGTTGGGTACTTTTGCCCCGCAGCGAGAGCAGTATGTCGAAACGTTGGAGGAGGAGACCACTCCTTCTGGTGTTCTTGCAAGGGGAAATTACTCTGCAAAGCTGAAGGTATGCATAAACAAATACATGTTGACAACTGATGATTATACAATTATAACAATTTTGAATTCGTCTAATCTCTGAAGTGTTACCTTAGAGTCCATATTTACTATTGAATAAGATTAGGATTAGACAAACTATCTCTTTCTAATATTTTGTGGCAGGATGAGATCTGTTGTTTTGTGGTTTTGTGGTTTTGTGGGCCGAGAGAAACAATATGACCTTTAGAAGTGTGAGATTTCACGTTGGTTGGAGAGGGAAACGAAGCATTTCTTCTAAGAGCGGAAATCTCTCCCTAGTGAACGCATTTTAAAACCTTGAAGGGAAGCCTGCAAGGGAAAGCCCCAAGAGGACAATATCTGTTAGCGGTAGACTTGGGCTGTCACAAATGGTATCAGAGCCAAACACCAAGCGGTGTGCCAGCTAGGACGCTGAGCACCCAAGGGAGGTGGATTGTGAGATCCACATCGGTTGGAGAGGGAACGAAGCATTCCTTATAAGGGTGTGGAAACCTCTCCTTAACGGTTGCATTTTAAAACCTTGAGGGAAAGTCCGGAAGGAAAAGCCTAAAAAGGCTATTTGGTAGCGGTGGGCTTAGACTCTTACAAGAAGGCTTAAGAGAGACCTAATGATGTACGGTTACTTGTTAGATTCTATGTTTCTCATTTTGCGTAAAGGGCATGTTTGTTTTGTAATTATTCTTTTGCAATACATATCAGGTGGCTGAAGCACAATTTAAATAGCTTCTTGGCCATACATGTTATTAGCTTCATAGATTGCCTGGTCTTGTCTGCTGCAAAATGTGGTTGATGAATTTTTGAACTACCAGCTTTCTGTATGGATGGTTAAACCTTTTTTTGTTGGTTTACCACAGTTCGAAGACGACGACAAACGGTGTTACATGGAACTCCCGTATTCCTTTGAGATCAAGAAGGGCAGTTAGTTGAGTTAACGTCGAGTCGAGTTGGCGCACGTCTTTCTTGGACCATTTCTTCTTATTGTTTTCCTCTAATGAACTGGTGGTCGTCTTTTTCACCCTCTTACTTATTTGAACCACAGTTGGAAATATGCAAGATTTTCATATTGATTTTGGTAAATTTGAGTCTTTGATGCTATGAATGGAAGTTCCTCGTAAATTGGCATACAAGTAGCTCAATGAATGTCAGCACAAAATGATGTTCATTCTACAGCCCCACTTCCTGTAACCCTGGAGAATGATAAACCTCAAAAAACTTGTGTATGATGTTTTTATAAATTAAAAAAATGAAGAATTAAATTTGTAATTTTAAATTTTAATAACAAACCACAAATTCTAAGAAATACCATTGTAATCATATATTCTTTTGTTGAGTGCCAATAAATTAATATATCATCAATAATCAGACCGTACAAGCTAATTCTCGCCAACTGTACGCGATAAATTACTTTTTATCGTATCCGGCCGATTTGAGAGCCGCCGCCAAAGGCGGCAGTTTGCATGAGAGAGAAAAAAAGAAGCGCGCATTTCAAACGTCACCGTTCCTCCACCCGACTTTATCACCCGCCCTATCACTTCCGCTCAAAATAAATCTGGGCCGTCCACGTGTCAAACTATCTCACTTCTCATAAATTTCATCCTTCCCGGTGTTTGAAACTTGAAGTTTCTGCAGAGACTTCTATTGATTCTCATCTCTCAAATCTAATCAAGAATGATGGAAGCTTCTAGCAATGGCGGCTCTAATGCTAATAATAGCAGGTTTTTTAACCCTTGGGTTCTTCATTTCCAGAAAATGGGACTTGAACTCTAAGTGTCCTCTGTGGTATATTTTCGTTTTGCTCCTGTTTCACTCTACTTGTTAGTAATTGACATTTTTTTTTAGTCTAACAATTGTTTTAATGTCGTCTTTTTTGATGTAATAACAGCTTGAACTTCTTTGATGAACCTGTTTTGCTTCCTTGCACCCACCTGTTTTGCAAGTATGCTTCCCATTTCGTTGTTTTTATTCATTTTTCTTACTTTTGCGATTTGCAAGTTCTAAATACGTTCTTGACTTTGTTGTAGGGGTTGCATGCCATTTGCTGCCCAGATTGGATCAGTGTGCCCTCTCTGAAAATCAGGATTTGTCGATCGAGGTAGATTTTCCACTAGTTTTTGGCTTCTTGTAATCTTTCGTAAGATTTCTGGTATTTATTGTTTTTTTTTTTTTTTTTTTTTTTTTTTT